AAATTATATTTCTAATATTTTTCATTTTTTAATGAGGAACAAACACACTTAAATAAATACAAATTTATTTCTTAATTTTGTTCAATGAAGGTTTATAATATTTCAGAGATTCAGTTTCTCTCATCAAGTGTAACTGAAAGTGTATTTACAAAATTAGTTGCCAAAGAGGAGCAAAATTGGTATTTACAATATTGGATAAATTAAGGAGGAACATGAAAATTACTAAAGTTCAAAAATAAATTACATTGTACCAACTTCAATGTGAAAGCTCACCTCTTATTCTATACTTCAAAATATTAAAAACCAATTCGATTATATAATAAAAAAAGTTTTGCGTTGTGTTTTTTGGATGCTGTTAAGTTTCAATTGTGACAGTCGTGCAAATTTCATGGACTTTGCATTGTGTAATGTTTGTTTTTATAGTAGGCGTGTGCAGATTAAAATGACTGGCAATGTGTACACTACTTGTGGGCCTCATTGCAATTAACAATTTTATTTACATATTTTTATTTTTTTGTTAAACAGCTCTCTCACTGACCCACTTTTTAAAACTATTTTCATACTATCGTCATGTTCCCTCATTATCTGTCAAACTCATTATTCTAACTTTTTTACTTAATTATTAATTTAATTTTTGTAAAACAACCTTTTTTGACTATTTGTTCGTATTTCAATTATTTATTGGAATTATTATTCGGATAAATATGTAAGCAAGCTATTGTTTTCACTTCTGAAAACCACATTTAGAATTGCATGGTTGTAATTTGAAATTTGGAGCTTCATCTAAGAAAATATGAAATTTTCTTTCTTTGATAGTTTGAGTTTTACTCTACGTGATTGAGTTTTAATTTACAGAACAATTTGATAGCTCTTATTTTATACCTTTAAAATACTGTCACTTTCAGAATTTACTAAGGATTAACAATTTTTATATTGGCAAACTGTATATAATTGGTATCCCACGTAACAATGCAACTTCATGCTGGGAGGTAAGAATTTTGTTTCTATTATAGGTATTATAGAAAATTCGAAACAATAAACTTTTGAAGACTGCTGGCTTTGATTTTGTCATTGATTTTTATTTAAAAAATCATAAATATAAATTTTTTTCCAGTTTCAGGGAACATGTCCCAGAGCCAACATTTACCTACTATACAATAACTAAATTTCCGTAAGAAGAAATGGAAATTGGATTTAGCCCTCTTGTGTTAAAATTTATTTACAATGGGTTATTTTAATAAAACTTTATAATTTGGAAACAATTATAGTTTCGGATTGATGTTAAAACATTGTCACAATTACTGCAGTTATAAAAGCTATTTTCCTTTATTATTTCTTCTTTAAAAATACTTGCATTGTTTCCTGACTCACTATTTTTGGACAATGAAACTTATTTAACTAGACTAATTTGCACTTTGTTGAACATAGACCTGCAAATAATAATTAGAAGTTCAATAAAATAACTAATGGATTTTAATTTGACCTTTTGATCATATTCCATATTCTAAAGGAGTAACCACTGCGTGCTATATTTTTATTACATGAGGCTATGTGTTTCTTTCAAAATGTGAATGTGCACACATGTCTGGCTTTTACTATGTGAGCAAATTCATAGCATTCTCAGATGCAAAACTGGTGTCTCACTTTTCAGGATCTCTTAGACCTGAGATAACTTAATTAAATTTGGCTTCATTGCAATGTTTAGTTTTTTTGTGATCTCTGGCACTTATGAGCACACTTGTTGCTGAGAAATGTTCATTATGAAAATGTATAAAAATATAATGTAAATAATTATTTAAAATACAATGTAGCATTTGTAAATATATCCATTATGACAAATACTGTCACATTTGTTCATTTTCCACTTTGTGTTTTTCATGCCTGCAAAACATTTATCTGATTAATGTGATTGAGTTGCATTGTATTAACTTATTCAGACCCTTGTTACACTGAAGTCATTTGAAATTTGCTGCACACAGCTACCTATAAGTAAAGATTAAAACTAATAAATTAGTTTCATGAAATGTAAAAAACGTAAACTTTCATATATTTATGGGTGCCACAAGTTGCAAATGATTTGAGTGAAACGAGGAACCAAATAATACAAAGTAATGAATTAACAACAATAATTTTTTAAATTGAGTTTTGCTTAATTTTGTTTTATTTTTTCTTGGGTAGGGAACTTGAGATTCCAGTACTTACTATTAAATGTTAGTAACGAAAATATTTGGAAAAATAATATGAAATTATTTGAGATTTAATCTTAATGTATTGTATCTAATTCTATTCGGCAACTACTTTTAGTGTTTCACATTTTTGCATATTGTTTTTATTTTTTTAAATTTAATGTGACAATTTCTGGAGTTAAATTTACAATTTAAAGGTACAGTTATAAAACAGGGCAAAACTCCAAGCAAACAGTGTGTTGATGTTTGTGTGTTGTTTTTTCAGTGTGTTGATTTGGCGGGAAGTATGAATCATTTTAAACTATACGCGGAACTGAAAACATTGATTATCAGTCTCGTTTTCTTTCAGTCAATATTTGGATACAACACGGCTGGCTTTTGTCCACCGTGAATAACGACTCTCTGACCTTATTGAACCGCGATGCGTAGTCAGGAAATAACACTAAGCTGTTCGGGTGATACGTTGCCTAAGGTCGGGATTTTCAGGAAATGAGCGATGATGTCTCCTGGCTGTGAACCTTGGTAGTGACAGAAAGTGTTTACACTCACTCAATTCGCATACATATTTAGAGTAATATTAAATAATATAAACAAAATTCTTATTTATTTTAAATTATAATATTGTATGAATGATGAAAAGATAGTCGCAATAACAGCAATGAAGATGCTGTAGTTTCTATTCCAAATATTGAAATAATTCAATTTAAAACATTTAAACAAAAATGCTCGATATTTTCCCCATCCATCGGTTATCGATTTTAAAACTTCTTCTGAAATATTTTTAGGTTAGGACATGGTCATCCAATATTCATTACTCGTTTCTCTTCTTCATAAGAAAGTGAAGAAGCAATTATTTAAAAACTTTTCTACCTCTTTGCATATCCGAATAGCACTAATTTTATGACTATGATGTAGCGCTAAAGGCTACAATGCGCAACGGACAATATCTCAATAACGGACGCTCGCTCACTAGTAGCAGGCCGTTCAATCGAGATTCAACGCCTTCGCACACTTCATAGTTAAGTGCGGGACGTCACGAACATGCGCCACATGATGAGTTCTGAACAAGTTGAAGTTCGCCGAGGGGTGAACTACGCTCGGACACCACGTGCGTTGCATGGATATGCTGAAGCCGATCTAAGACGCCGGTCGCTCGAGAACCGAATAAATAAAAAATCTAAATAAACTTAAAGGGGAAAAAATGATTTTTAAATTTTTTTTTGGGCGTTGACACATGACTTGCAAACCTAAAGAAAACGCCATTGCAAATGAGGTTGGAGAACAAAAGGAAGGTGACTAAAATACAACATTATTACGTTCATTATTATGAACTGTCCTAGCTTTCTAGCGAGTACCACTCATTTTTCATAAATACACTTCACATAAGTAGCAAGAGAAACGACTCAATCAACTATTTAGAACTAATCGTACACAGCACGGGCGCAGCGATTACGCGGGCATAAGGCAACGCCCCTACACCTTCGTTATCACAACGAACAGTGATGAGAGAGGCGTAGTACCTTGAACGGCTCTGGGCGCCTCGGAGGCGCCGAGCGTCACTTGCAGGGCCGCCTCGGCCTCGCGGCGCGGGCTCTGCAGCCGCCAGGCCGCCAGCGCGTCCTTCTTGTAGATGAACTCGGTGTCTAGGACCACCTGCAGGCAGACACCATTACGAGCACGGGGCTTGTTAATTCCTTTTGTGTTTGTAATTCAGTCTCAGCATCCGGTGGTAAAATATTTGGCCAACCGTTGCCGGAGGAATACCAACGGTCGAGGCTGTTTATGTACTATTAAGGAGGCTGGACATAAGTACATAACTGAGAAATTTTACAACTGTCACCCGTGACATTATTAAAGACACACTTCGCATCCTTTTGCAATACAAGTTTAGTGATTTCAATTATGAAGATTGATTTGCCTGGCCTTCCTGATCCACACAACGCTCCTTTATCATTGAACAATTTATACGCACACACCAACACAAACAGGCTAGCGTATCGAAACAAAAACATGTAATGCTGCGCAGTCAATACCGTCAGTACATTTAAGGGACTAATGACTGTGGCGTATTGAATAAGGCTCGGACTTTTAGGTTAATACATATTTTCCCCTTTAATCCTGAGCGTTGAAAGCTACATGGTAATTTAAGTGACACCGCATGGTTCCCAAATACAAAATTGTATATCAACTAAAAACAAATATTTTGATTAGGTTACATAAAAATAAATATTTTCGTCGAAACAAATATTATTACATTTTCACTTAATTCTATATGAATAAATGAATATTTTGGGAATTTTTAAGTTTAATACTTTGGTGTTTGGGAATATATTGTGAAAGACATGCCAGTTTGGAATGCAGTTGTTAGTCACACCACTTATTACTTTGGTAGTTTCTCGCGTGACTGGAGTAAGTCTGATTCACGACTTGTCAAAACGTCTGAGGGCAATTTCTAACACTACTCTCGATTCAGACAATGCACTCCATGTATTTATTACATGACCAGCTACCTTTTTTTCCTAAGAATGCTCAAAAGAAATGTGCAGAGTGATAAAGACGATGACGTAACGTTTTACATCCACGCTTCTCTCGATCTTAATTACTGGTTTTTATAAGGGTAAAATAGATATTTTGGTCGTTTTAACACATATTTTACACGTTTAAAGCGCAAAAAGCTAATATTTCCAGTACTTTATCACCTAAGTCCGAGCCCTAAAATGCCCATAGTTGAGGCGCCGGGAAACAAGAAACAATCAATGAATGAATCCCAGCATGGCGCTGAACTTTCCTTTCCAGACGCTTTGGTTGTGTCACCTGCAAGCTCGCCTCCAGCGCGTGGCTGTCGCCCCCCACGTCCAGCGCCACTTGCAATGCAGCCTCGCTCGTCGCCGGCGCCTCCGCCCCCTGCGGCACACGCCGCTCACTCACAGGACGCCCGTTGACGAGAGGCTAGAGGCATAGATGAAGAGACCTCAGTGGCGGGTGCACAACAAACCTCCATCAATACTTTTGAAATAAAGTTAAAAAAATAATTATTAGCATGACGGAGACACACACTCTCTCTCTCTCTCTCTCTCTCTCTCACACACACACACACACACACAAACATATGAACTCAACAGGAACTGGATTTCACTCTCACCCGGGAGCGGTAGAACAAAAATGTCTGCTCTTTCCGCAGGTTGCGGGAGAAACGTCACGACATTTATTGTGTTTTGATGTTACTCCCGCAACCTGGGGCAAGGATGGGATCCAATTCCTGCTCCTGCTGAAAGTCATCATTCAAATGAAATGAAGTCCAATCTGAATGCTTTACTTTTTTTTGTAAAAAACAGAAACAATAACCAACATTTATTTTTTCAAAACCAACTATACAATCAAAAAAACAATAAACAAGACAATGCTTGATTGATCCAAGGTCTTCTTTGCCCGCCATCTAGCACGGTCGCTGGTCGGGAAGGCGGACACGGTGAAGGACCCAGGTCGGTACGGGGGGCCCAGGTAGACGACACGCACCGTCTCCTTCGCTATAGGCGCGGGAGGCGCCTCCATGGCCGCGCCGAAGGGGCGTTAGAATCACGCAACGGCACGGCCAGCACAACAGGCGCGCGACTCCCCCGTCACAGTGAGTCGCGACTGAACTCATTGCACTTCACTCCTCTAACTCCTACCACTCATTAACTGATTCAGCGCGATCGACTTGCGACCATCCGCCCGACCCTCTCGCTCCCTCCACTGTCCCCTCATACCCCCGCCGCACTTCCCTACTACACCTCCCCGCCACCGTTCCGGCTTGCCCACAAAGCGCTGACATAGATGTCATTAACGTCCTCTCGTCGATATAAAAATATATATATATATAATATATATGAATATATATATATATATACTATATTTATAATATAATATATATATCAACACCGTAAGCGGGTTATCAAGATTTTGTGCAAGATAAAAATTAGGGAAGCAGGATCTTCAGGGGTGTGAGAAGGTTTGAACCGCTTGACAAAATAAAATCACACAGATTGCACACAAACGAGAGCGTATAATTTACATCATAAACTTTTAGTGGCAATAAAGTTAATTGACAGAAACCAAGAATATAGAATCACATTTTCAAAGAATAATCAAAACACAGATAGAAAAACCTTTACCAACACACACTCATGTGAATGAACACATAATTTACTTTCAAAATTGATACTTTGAAATAACTACCCTAATCTCTTAACTGGAAATTTCCTGTGGAAATTAAATTCATATGCTAAATTTGTGCTTCATTCTAATTACATTGAAACGGAATCAAAAATTCAATTTACAATCTCCTGCTTAAAAATATTACATGTAAAAACAGAAATGTGTGCAAGTGCACATACTCTATTTACAATTTAATGCAATGTCTGAAAATGGCAGAATAATAAATGTCCAAACGATAGAATGTTTTAAATGCAGGCAATGACTCAACAATGTCCTCCTACCTATACTGCAATTGTTGCTAGCCGTGTCTCTCAAATTCTAACACTTTCCATTACTACGTCTTTTTCCCTGCCGACGTGAATTGACCTATTTTCCGCGCACTAAAATGTTACCTGTGGACTTCCCACTTTTTGGCCTTGAAGTCGTGCTCTGGTCGGCTGCGTCGATCGGTCGCGCTGCCGTTTCGTCCCAGCTTCTGCGTCGTAAAGAACGGATTCGCGCCTGCCGTCTGCGTTGCCTTCTTGACGTCCTCTTCCGTTCCTCTTCCATCCACGCTTCCGTCTTCTTCCTCGTTGCGCCTGTGTCCGTCCGTTATCTTCCACCTCTCTGCTACCGGCGCCTCTACTACGCCTAACGTTGCGAAAATGTTCCCTTGCACTTTACCGAATACTCGTGCAAGTTCCTCGCTTCGTCGCTACTTTTACTTGCTAAGCACAAACTTTTTAATGTTTCCTTCACAACGGGTAACTTCGTGTTATTAATTGAAGAAACCACTACTTAAATCTGCCACTAATCTCGCTCGGACGACTAACTAGAACATTCTGCTTCGACGCGAATACATCTACCTAGTAGTCGTTGCAGCGGCAAAACAATAGCTCTAGATGTTAACGAAATGTTGACTCGGCGAACGTAGATCAAAAGAGCAGCTGCTTACTCGCCGCGTATGGCCAAGGAAAAGAGGCTTCCGCTGCGGGTTCGCCGTATTTATCCGCGCGACGCCTGGGGAATTCTCCGGTGTGGGGCTGCTTCCCCTCTCAACGCCTTCACAAGAAATACATTGCTAGTAGTTTGCTGTTTCGTTTTAGGTATGGGCCACGGATACCAGGCCGCGCGTTTAAGGTACCTTTGCTACGCGTCTGTTTATCCTCGCTGCCTCCGTAGTGTTCACAACATGATCGGTGGTTTATGGTTGCACAATCCGATAACGCCACCAATATTATATATATATATATATATATATATATTGACTAGTAGTGTCTAGACCGCTAGTGTAAATCCGCAGAAATGATGCTCTTACGAGCTTTATAATACCTCTTAGGGGAGTGGGATCTTTTGGAGATGATGAGAAGAAATCCAAACACGGGTACATATACAATTAAACTGGGTTTAATGTATTGGAAGCCTCAGTTGAATACAACGTACAAACAAAAAAAAATCACAGTACCACAAAAAATGGTATCTTTCTTTTAATATCGCATTGAATTTTTATTCACCTCTATGTGCACTTACTTTATTTTCTGGAAATTCTCGTTTTTTAACTTGGGAAATTACTTCAATTTCTGTTCCAACTAACTGATGACACTGACTTCTGATTGCATTTAAGCTAACTAAATTTAATTATGTGTAAAATGACCTTACACTACAAATACAATTAGTGTTAAGTTGAATAACAGTAGTTAAATACATAAATTTCTCACAGTTCTGCAGGCAAACATGAGAGAATATTCGTTTTCATTGTATCACTTGTATTTTACGAGATATTAATATAAAGTATTTTTTTCAAATGAAACTACATATTTTTTAGTCTATTATGACGAGTGTAAAAGACTAATTCCATGATTAAGATATTGTCCTATATTAAACATTTTGTTGAGTAATTTAGATATTTTGCGACTTGGAGTGACGTAGTTGTAGTCAACACTACCTAGACATACTAAGCCTGAGCAGTCATTCAAGACACCGACCTCAGTTCAGTGCTGTGGCCCTACCCGACGACACGAAGCCTGCAGCACCCACGGGGCAGCGGTTGACGCCAAATATACGCGTCGGCGCCCCTCAATTTATACGATGCCAAACTTAAGCATTTCAAGGGTTTATCCGCGGCCACTTCGTCAGTTGTCTCTCCTGGCACCATCACCACACACTTTGGTGTCTCAAAACCTTCTTGCTTGCCCGCCAGCCTCGCTTTCTCCTCTACGCGCGACACCATCACCTCAGGTAGGGGCGGCATCCCCTACTCTGCTCTCAAGGAGATGCGACGGCAGCGCTCGCCTAGTAAACGGACGAGGCGCGTCGTTCGGTTACAATTTATATATGTGTATATATATATATATATATATATATATATATATATAAACTAATGCTTATAGCTCGTCGACGTCAGACCGAATGCTCAGTTCGAGCTTTGAAATCTCAGGGGGCAGGATCTTTGGGGTATGAGAGTTTTACTCCAAGACACAGAATTAGGGAAATCAGTGCTAATATTCTTTCTATAATGTTACCATAAACAACAAGCAGTGAACAAATACAAATAAGACATACAAATTCTATACAGAATCAAATTAGCCTTTTCAACACTGAAAAATTTACACACTTCAACGTTAAACTAAGTATTCCCTTCTTATTCAATTCCCTTTTCAAAATGCCCGTGCACGGTAATTACTGCTTGGCCAGCACCGTTGGAAAAGACACAAATGTTAATTTTACTTATCTCAATTATTACAACACACACAGAAACTATTTATATTATAACACCATTCCTTTGGCGTAAAAGACTAGCAACCATTTACCATAATGACTTATAATGACCAAACTGACCGTACAATTGTTTACAATTAATTCCTTTGGGAATATCTTACGTGAATGAAAATGAATTGCACGGCTATATACACAACTTTTCTTGCTAACATTAAACACAAATGAAAATGTATTACATCGGCTTACAAGGTTCCCCTTTCCGGATATTTGTCGTGAAACAGTTCGTAACAAAATCTAGGTGATTACGAAAATTTTGAATTGCGCTCTTCTGCCGTTGCCCTCGCGTTTGCAGTTCTGCCTGCTGAATACGCCCAAAACACACCCAAAATTTGTTACGTTTGCAACGGCGCTCGCAATCGCCGCTTGCGCCAACCTTGCTTTTCCGACGCGCCTGACCCTGCTTCAGATTCCGGCCGCACCGTCGCTCCTCTTCCGTCTAGATATACATGAAGCCGCATGAACACCTTTGTCTTCGTCTTCCTGCCCGCAGAATCGGCGCCTACGCTTCGTTCTTCGCGCCGGGCACCCCACGCCGTCTACTTCAATCTTCGCTACTCTTGCCCTCTCGCACGCCGACACGTGATACACAGTCCTGACGCGTATTACAAGCGGCGTAGTTTCGGCGTTTTTCAACACCTAACGTGTGTTGCGGAATTCAAAGTCTTATGACGCCCTTATGATAATTAATGTCCGGTTCTCGCGACGACTAATATTCTTTCTAACTCTTCTACAATTTCCCCAGTTCAAGTAATTGTCGAACTAATGTTGACTATTACTTAACTTTGCTGCTCTACAACACATTTCTACACTCCTCCTCTCTGATACAAATGACCAAATGTCGACTACGCCCTATCGACCACACTCTCCACACACAGCTGCTCCCATCGGAAGTCCGTCTAAGTCGTGCCGCGAGCTACAGTTAAAATATCGCGCTGTTACGTTAATTATTTGGCACGCATGTGTCACGGGCACCCGTCTTGGCTTCACCGAAAAATCGTGAGTGTTGTGGGGTTTCTGAGCTCATGTCAAACGCCACAATATAGTCTGACGAAAGCCCCTGCTAGTAATTCGCCTGTTGGGGACTTCGCAGATATCGTGCTCTTGCGAGCTTGTAATATCTAATGGAAGTGGGATCTTAGGGGAGTTGAAAGCAAATCCAAAAACAAGAACAAATAAATCAGTTAAGCAGGGTTTAATATTCTTAAAACCCTCTAGTTGCTTACAGAATCACACCAAAATCAAAATGAAATACAATAGAACAAAAATTGAAACTCTCTCTCAATGAAACATGAATTAATCATAAAAAATCTTTGCACAAATGATCCCTTGGAATTCTCATTGTTACTCTTACTAATCAATTTTGCTACATTTCCTATTTACATTAACCAATGACACAATTTAACACTCCACTTAAATAAATTTGATACAAAACAACGTGCGCAGATGCACATTTCTCTCTACAAAAATTTCTCTGTGGCCGCGAAAAACATGAATTAATATTGATCTTTTTTCAACACTGCCCTTCCGCGTAGTCTTCCGATCTTATTCTCCCGGCTCCTTTCGTCCTCGTTTGTGTTTACGCCCGCGAGCGAATGCTCGCACCGCAATGAGTAACGTAGGCGTATTATGTAGCCGTCTATTCTATTCAACCATCAAGGCGATTTCGCAAAGAAGATAATCCAGGTGCCAATCCTGAAATTCTACGCGGTGTGAAGAAGCCCTCGATTTAGAAACGGGAAACGCGTGCATAGGTGACACGCTTACTTAGCGGTCCGATAGAATTGGACTGCTAGACGAGGGGATGGAGGAGGAACGTGATGAAAAATGGTGCGACGTGAGCCCTAGCAGGCAGAGCAAAAGCCAGCAGTGCCGAGAGAACTCGATGAATTACGACCCGCCATCATCATCTTCTTCACATTCGCTCAAATCGCTGCGACTCAAACCCCAGAACAGGCGGTTTCCGGGCGACGTCTGTTAAGGGAGAAAGCGGCATGGAAGAGCAATGGAAATAACGCTTGCGACTAAGAGCACATCGGTGGATCCAGCCGAGGAGCAGCGCATTTGGGTTGGGCGGAGATCCCGAGTTGAGGGGGTGTTGAGGGGCCAGCCGCGCCGAGCCTGCGCGCCTGGCGACGCTGTAGGTGGCAGAGCCAGCGCGGGAGCCCTGCAGTATTCACTCCCCCACTAGCAGAGTTAGTTCACCTCACTTCCATTGCAGAAGCGTGAGGACCGGTGCGTGAGAAGTCTTCAAAGATTACATTGTGTAAATTATTAACCAATAGGCAAAAAAAAACAAGAACTAAAGAACGATTTTTTAAAATACTCAATTAAATGTTTCAAAGTGAAACCAATGTTAAATTGAGGTAATTATTGTAAATATGCTTAAGATATTAATTCTTTTCAAAGCTCAGTTTTAATTGTAAATAGATCGAGAACCTTGAGAAATAATCTTGTAAACTTGATTTCGCCTAAAACTAAGCACAGGCAACAATAAAATTTGTACTAGATGGTTGTCTAGATAAAGAGTTAATGCATAAAAATGTTTTCTAAAAATAAATATTCATTAATGTGACAGTTATAATTCAACCCAATGCCAGTGACGAATACAAGATTCGTGTTCAATTTATAAATTCTATGTAACAGAATTGAACCTTTTTCTTTGTTTTTAAAGTGAAGAATATATGATTTTGTGTCACGGATTCACACTCTTTAATTGCTTTGTCGCAAACTTGTTTGTGTGCTCCAAAACTCACTTTCGTATAGAAAATATTCGAATGATAATTACAAAGAACCAACTTAAATTCAAAATTTTGAAAAAGATGGTAATATTTTGACATTCGTATATACGAAATGTGTTAAAGATCTAATTTGGAGAATTCGATTACATAAACAAAGAAATTACTTGTTTCATTATTAAAGGACCAGGCAAGATAAAAAATAAACTTTTGCAATTTCCAAATTGCCAGAGAGTTTAATGAAAATACATATGTCGTATTATTAAACGAACATTTCTACATTCAAGGAAAAAATAAAGAAGAAATTGGAGCTCTTTTTGGGAAACCTACTTTTTTAAAAATCGTCACCAATTAAGTAAAAATTCGCAAAACTTTATTTTAAAAATTTATAACATTTTTAGTGAATTAATTTTGAAGAACTTATTTCAAAAAGAAAAAAATTCTGTCATATAGTTGGAGAACATCGAAAAAATGTAACTTGTGAAATTTTTAAAGATCTTACTGAAGATCGGCCCCCCGAATTTCATGTTTTTTCTCGTTCGAGCAAAGCATTTTAAGAAAACTTCGGAGCCCATTCTGAGAAAATTTTCAAAATGTATGCACTGCTTGTAAGGAGCCCCAAAATTTAGAAAATCCATTTTAAATTCAAGAGACTGAACATCAAGATCAATTTTGTGTATCTATATTGGTGAAAATACTGTGTTACGGATTAGGAGATTGAGTAGATCATAGAAACAGAACTTGAAAAACCCATTTTTATGTTTCAAGTATCTCCCAAACGTGAGTTTCTGTCAAAATCTTACATTGATATTTTGCACCATTACACATCATTCTCTATTACGTTTTATACGTAATTATATTATAATTAATAGATAAGTAATGTAAAGTAAAACAGATAGATACATTCTCGCAGATATATACACGTGATAGATGGTAAAAAGGCGATAGAAATTGATAATAATAAAGTAAAGATATTAATAAAAAGGCTGTTGGGAAACCAAAACAATGACAATAATTCTATAGTAAAGGGGTAACATTTCTTATGTAGATTGAATTAGTTTACCCTACGACCACAAGACCACAATAGCTTATTCATTTTGACTTAGAAGTCGATAACGTTCGCACCTCAAGCCCTCGCCACTCCATCAACTGCAGCTCTTCCTGTTCCCCGTCCTCTCCCAGGTCGTCGTCCTCGTGAGGACTGGCGGAGGACGGACGAGACTGTTCCTGCTCCCATCCGGACTCCAACTGTACTTCCGCATCCACTAGCTTCCGCTCGTCCTCTTGCTGAGAGACAGGAATGGAGGATGCCAGTAAGTCCCAACTGAGATATCTAATTACTACCCAAAGGGTTTTCATTTAGCAAAATTTTTCAATTTCAATTTCAAAAGTACAAAATTGAAAATAGAGATTTTTCTCATACGTAATATGTTCCAAGCAATCAGATATTTAAAATGGTTATGTAGGCTACAATGTTTTGAAAAAACGAGTAGTTTTTGCGTAATGTCGGCTTGAAAGTAGTGCAATTTAATTTTTAAAAAACCTACCTAAATAATAGTTCCAAAACAGTTCCAGTTCTGTCTCTCTCTTTCCCCCTCCCTCTCTCTTTCTCTCTCTGCAGTGAATTATGCGCTATGCGACATTCGGCAATTATTTTAACCTAATTTAAAGTACCTAAGTAAACGATTCTACTATAATTCACTGCATAACGTGTCACTTCATTTTCCAATAATCATCCAAATAAATTCCAATGAACATAATTACAATCGAAAAACTCTTAATCGAGAAACATATCATGCGAAATATTGAAATGCTATTATTAGCTTCTCGTAATAATAACTTATGATAGCAAGATATTTTGAACAACTAATTCTCATAAGATCTTTGATATTTTGAATTCTGCTTTTATAATCATGGAATTTTTTGCACTCATAATTAATCTCACGCGTTGATTCCTTTATTTAGGAAACGCTATCTTACAAAATACGAAAATCAACCATTATATTAATGATACACAGTCATATTTTTATTAATCTTGATTAAACGTGCTCATATTTTAGCTACTACATCATTTGGATACATCATTTTTCTAACCTGATATCCGTCTAATTCATCACCCCAAATCCTTTGAAAAATATCACTGCTGTTGGGACACCCAGAAGGAATGGTCTGAAGAACTTAAAAATCGGAGGATGTGTAGAATAATATATCCATAGGAAGTGATTAAATTTGCATAGAGATGGCGTGCACGTTGGCCTAGCAGCGCTCTCTTTTTTTATGTGACAGGTCTGCTCATTGTTAAGCCACCTAGTCTGTGTAGAGCCGAGAAACAACGTGGAAAAGTGCAAGCAGATGCCAGTTGCCTCGTCGACGCCAAAGGGCGCATTTTTAGTCTCTGAGTGAGTTCGAAGGGGGAAGAATGATCGGTCTCCTTGAAGCTGATTTGTCATACCGTGACATTGCGGCTCGAAGAGATGAAGGTCGTGTGTGCATGTACATAGAATATAAATGAAGAAGCTGATTGAAAAAATATTTTTGTGTTCTTGTTTATTGTTCTTATTATCATCGTAAAAACAATTGTATGTGTTTTTTGTAAGCAGATGTCAGATTATAAACGTTTGTGTTTAAAGGAGTGAATATGTTTAATTCCACAAAGACAGAATTCCTACTATTCAAAGTTTACAAGAATATAATAATCCTTTACGTAAGTCGGTCCCCAAAATTTTCACAATTAACCCTCCTGAACTAGCACAGTAGTCGTAGGTTCTATAATTCCACGAGTCAATATTAGTCACAGACCATTGTTTTCATACGTCACATACGGAAATAATTGCCTCATAAGTTCAAATCTTTATAGTTACTTAGCGATATTTTTTGTCAGCCTTATTAGCAGTAATAATAATATCAATAGTGAAAAAAATAAAAATATTTGTCAATGAGAATTGTTTCAAACAATGTACAAGATATATTGCTCTAGCAATTCATGTACATTAAATCGTATGTACTGGATTTACATTGCTTTGAACATACAATTACTGATAACATTCATTCATACTGTAACGAATATTGCTCCACCTGCCGGATTCGCTGCGCGTGGATTGCGTCATCTGCCGGCGCCCCTTCCCTTCCCCCCGAAATGGACGGTTCCGGACTATTCGCGAGCCGCGGGGAAAGGTGGAGAATGTGCCGGGTGTATCGAGACGAGCGCCGGCCAGGTATAAATGCGCCGGCGGCCACGAGTCAATAGAGGAGTCAATAGAAGTCAGTGAGTAGCAGAGTAGTGAGTAGTAGCAGTCAGTCAGTAAGAATTTAGTCAGTGTAAGTTAGTGTGTCAGAGTAAGTCAATGTACGTAATCAGTGAATAAGCAGTCAGTCCGTCAGTGTGTCTGAAGTGGAAGCTTTGCTGTGAACTGTGCATTGCGTTGAACAGTGGTGCAGTGAGTGAACAGCAGTCAGCAGTTTGATGTCTGCAGTGCAGGCTGAGCTGTGAAGTGTGCATCGTAGTAAGCAGCAGTGCAGTGGACCGTGGTGGGCGCAGTGAAGTGTGGCCTACGCAGGGAACTGTGGTCTGCGCAGGGAGTTATTGTCAGCGCAGGGAGTTATTGTCAGCGCAGGGAATTGTGGTCAACGCAGTGGACCGTGGACAGTGCAGTGGACTGTGTGATAGTGTAGAAGAAGTGAACTGTGTCAATAAATAATCGAGAGAACGGAGTCGTGTGTAAAGAAAAATAAACAGTGTAAAATATTTGTAAATAGATCTAATAGTTTTTAATAAACGTTTTTGGGTAAATACCTGTGAGTGTTTTAATACACCAGTGAGAAGTGATAAAATACTTTCGCACTCTCATGGAAATATATCTAGTGTTTTAAATGTGTGACTGTGATTTCTACATAAACACGCATATTACATTATACATTTCATTATGTAATACCATTAAATAGTATTAATTTAGTAATACACTAATATGGTTTTTATATAGTTATAATGTTACATGTATAACTAAGTATAATGTACTGTTATTACTGTACACAAAATGCTTCATTATACATGTAATGTTAATACGATAATGTTTGATTATAAAAATTATAGCAAGTCACTGCTTTGGCATTACATTATATTACCACACACAAACAAAAGTCTTACGACAAAAGTCACAATTTTGTCTCTTCGTGCTTCGTTCTTATATATTTAAAATTTTATATCAATAGAGATTTTATTACAACCACAGTTCTTGTGTATGCGAATGCTCTGCACACGCGTGTATTATTTATTGTGTCAGTGTTCATGTTATTCGTAATTGTAAGACTTTGTGCGTCATGGTGACTGTAATCTAGATTAGTAGTTTTTATTTCATGTCTAGATGTGATTCTGTTAATTATAATTTTATCTATTGCTTTTTGCGATTTAAATGTATTCCGTGTAGTTATTACATTCACTGTAATATCGCATAAGTGTATATTACATTCACTGTAACATATAAATTAAAATAATGCAGTAAACTGAGAAACTGATCTTATTCGTGGAATTCGCCTAGAAAATCAATATTGAAATCTCCACATATAACAATTCATTTAAAAGATAGATTACCAATTTTGTTCTTAGTTATATCTAGAATTTAGAGAATACCGGAATTGCGATAGAAATGAAAGAGCCTGTACATGTTGTTGGGAATTAGTTGGGTCGCAGCGCTTACGGGCAGCGGCGCGGCGCCCAGGGCTGCGCATGCGCACGAGTGGAGCGTGTGCCGCACGTGCGCGAGACGGCTGCGCAGAGAGGCTGCGCGGTGGCGCTGCACGTCCAGCCCTAGCGCCACCAGGCGCGCCGCGTTGCCCGTGCGCACCACCTGCAGCTGCACCACCTGCCACCACACACACGATGTGACATTCCAGGTTTACATGCGGGACGCTCCTTCCTCGAAATGGAGGGCTGGGTGCACCAATTCTGGTGTTAACCGAAAGAAATAACTTTGGCACTCATTTCACTCTTGAAGACCCACATACAAGCTGATACCTTTTTATATAAGAGAAAATTTTCCGTGTGCACATCTTCAGTGGCGGCAGGGTCGCGGGCGCAGTGTTCGGGGCGGTGTCTTGCTTGTAATTGGCGATTGGGAAGATGACCACCGCAGACGTGAACGAAGTGTTTGGCCCTTAAATGCCAACTGGACCACGGCCTCCAAGCCCGGAAAATATATCTATTGACTCCGGATGTGAAAGCCTACGATGCTACGATACCTTTTATTTTAGAATGCTACAGATTCATTTTTGCAGCAGTTAAGAATGGAACCTGGGAATGCCCTCAGAGAAATTTGCGAGCTACCCATTGGTCACCAGGTTTAATACTTATAATAATCATTTTATTAATTTTGTTATTTTTTCTTATCTGTTTAATTTCCTGGTTTCAAACCTTGCAAGCAAGAGGTGAACTGCATTGAGTGTACATACTACTACTACTACTACTACTACTACTACTACTACTACTACTACTACTACTACTACTACTACTACCACTACTACTACTACTACTACCACTACCACTACCACTACCACTACCACTACTACTACTACTACTACTACTACTACTACTAATAATAATAATAATATCAATAGAAAGGGGGCACTCCATGCCCACGTGCGCCCCGTGATCCTCCATGTAGATAAACTGGAAGCTCTGTGAAGACCAACGGGCCGAGAGGCTGAAGAGGATCCCTGGCCTCCAACGCGCCTGGCGCGGAAGAGTCCTCAGAATGAAATAACCTGGGCTCACCCGACTCGGGCTGTCAGTGCCTTGCAAGGGCCCTGCCTAGGGTCACATGCAAAGATCTAGCGAGGTCGAAGTCGCAGCCATGGTGAAGGCTACCCCCCCCCCCCCAAGGAAGAAAACCGCTGGAGCTTTTCAACTTTTCCGCCCTTATTCAGGGAATGGACGGAATCAGGGTCTTCGGTTTGCACCCCGGTTTTCACTCAGAGATAGCACCCACTTGGGACAAGGAATGATCGGCCTCATCTGGTGATGAGGTTGCTCCAGATGAGGAAAGACGACAGTCCCATTAAGATGACATCGGAGAAAATCCATCGGAGAAACAGAACGAATCGAACAGAGAGCAACCACCATCAAGGGTCAACTGCTCGGAATGTTTCAGCGGCAGCGCAGCCATTGATCAGCAGAGCAGGACTGCATAGACTTCTTCTGCGCACTTACTTAAGGTGACCCGCTGTGAAACAATTAACTGGATTCAGGCTGCTCCTCCATTCACGATTTG